TTTTTTGTTTTTTTTAACCTATTTTTAGGGGGGGGGGGGGGGGGGGAATATTGAAAAACCAGGCCGTGGACTGGGCCTCGTCGGCCGCTGCCTAGGCCGAGAATCTCGGCCGCAGCGGCTGAAATGCCCGTGGCCTAGGCCGCGGGTGTCACATAGAGTACGGGGAAACACCAACCAACCCGGATCTCTCCCCAGCCCACGGGGTAGGTTGGCACCACAGCAGTGGTGCGAGAGCAAGGCTGTACCAGTCCCTCATCACAGTGACGAGGGGTGGCAGGCATTGCCGGTGGGGGAAATCGGCAGTGCTAGCGCCGAGCAATGGCCAGTCACTGCACCTCCCCCTACCCCCCCCCAAACCCCACATGGCGGTGTCTAATGGCCAATATTGTCGCTGCATAGCAACCAACAACATCAACCAAGGTCCTGCCAATGCTGGCTTTGGCGGCCAACGGGTTATCTCTAGCTGGTAGAACACCAGGCTTGCCCAGGCATGTACGTGAGGCCAACGGGGATTGAACCCACGACCTCCTGAATGCACAACTTTGTGCACTTTTTTGTTGTGATTTATTTTGATACCTGAAATATATGATTTTTGTTTTTGTAGTTTCTGCATGAGTTTTGAATTATGTGATGTACACATATGCAAAGGTGCAGGGCATTTGGCTATGCCAAAAAAAAAAAAAAAAATCGCCAACGATGGCGGTGTCCAAAACGGGCTTGCGCACTCACTGATTTTAATTCTCTAATTTCTCTTTTTATTTTTTCTCATTTTCTTATTAGTATTTGTTTTCCTTTTTTGTTTTTGTTTCAATGGTAAGGAATTTGGAGTTTATTTTTCTGCATAACATATGTTTTTTTGCAGATTGTTTTGAGTTTTTGGTCTTTTTTTTTTTTTTTTTTTTTTGGCTCCGTGCTTGGCCAGAACGGCCGATCGCATTCCCAAGGGGTCCCGTATGTTCGGGCGTTCGGCCCATCCGGAAAGCCAGCCAGCCTGTATATATATATATACATTTATTTAAAATTTGGTAAATATTTTGTTGTGTTTTGGGCAAGAATTTCGTAGGTCTACTTTTTTGATGTCTGATTAGTTTTTCAGCACTCCTTTTATGGACGGCAATTTGTTCTTGAGATACACAATGCTTTGCTGGTATGTCACCGTGGGGTTTGGTCTATGTGCTTTGTTTTGGAGTATGTAACTGTGAACGTCATGGTTCCGTTTATGTGCCTGGCTTTAGGGTTTGGGCGTGAATTTCGTTGGTTGATATCTGATTTGGCTTTTGGCTGCTTAATTTGGCACTTTTTTATGGCCGGCAAATTGTTAGTGACATAGCAGGTTTGGTTTGGTTTTGTTAGTATTCAGAACTTGAAAAACCCTAAACCAAAATCCGTTAGTGAATTTCGTTTGGTTTTGTTAGAATTCGCAACTTAAAATCCGTTATGGATTCTGTTTTTCGGAACTTAAAATCCGTTATGCGTGCTGGTTTTCGGAACTTAAAATCCGTTATGGATGCTGTTTTTCGGAACTTAAAACCCTAAACCAATATCCGTTAGTGAATTTCGTTTGGTTTTGCAAGTATTCGGAACTTAAAATCCGTTATGGATGCTGTTTTTTGAGTTGATGTTTTTGGTAGCGGTGTGTGTGGCCTGTGGATCTATTCGCTCTGAATCGAGAGGAGGTGGGTGGGTTTGTGGAGTCTGCATCTGCAGTTGGCCCCTGCAGGGGCTTGGCCCCTGCTGCACGGGTGGCAGGGCGATATAACAGTTTGGGATGGCAGGAGAAACTAACAATGGTTTAGGGTTTGTCCTCTTTTTTTGAACCTGCGTATGTAGGAGTGTATTGGAAGATGGTCTGTCTTTTTCCTTATTGGGGTCTTGTGGTGTGTGCTGGCCTTTTCTTCTTGTGATTTTTTCTTCAGGCGAGTTTTTGGGCTTGACGGATGATGTCTCGCCTCTTAAACTGGACCACGGAAGTTTTGTGAGGGACGCCAGGCCCGCTTCCTGGCATTTTAAGGAAATTCTTCCTTCTCGAGAAAAAAAAAAAAAAAAAGTTTATTTTTGAATAATGTTTCTGCATAAGATCGTCTTTTTTCGGCGGGGGGGGGGGGGGGGCGGTTGTTTGTTTAGTTTTTTTTGTGCTGGGACCTTTCCTGGTCCTTGCACAGGCGGACCACCGGGGAAAACAGGGTGACCTGGGCGGCCCGGCTGGCAGCCTAGGTTCATTTGTAATTTTATATGCGATGGCTCTTTTTATTTATTTTTTGTCCTTTCAAACGAAATAGAGAACAATGAATGGTTCTCTCTAAGGTTTTACTAACAGCAGCAGAAACCCTGAGCAGATCAGTGGCAGCATTCGATGAAGAACAGCAGCAGCAATCTCGACGTGAGACAAACAGCATCGTAGGACTAGAACCACCTGCAGTATATTGTGCTAAGGAGGACCCGTTGTGTTAAGCAGCAGGAGATAGTAAGGTCGCACTGACAAGAGGAGCAGCAGCAGCCACTGAAAAAAAAAAAAAAAAAAAAAATGGAGCAGCAGTAACTTAAGTGAAGATTAAGCAAGGTTGCCTTGACTGGAGGGGGGAAAAAAAAAAGAGCAGCAGCAGCCATTCAAAAAAGAGCACCAGCAGCAGCTTTTCAAGGCTTCCGATCTGCAAACTGCAGCATTACATTGACAGCAAAATGAGTATCCGCTGAGGAGCAGAAACTCAGCAGCTTCAGCGAAGCGGCT